GTGAGGTAAATTGTTCCCATTTGGCAGGTTTTTGTTTCATATTAGAGTATCTTAAGATTAATCCTATTGCAATTTATTTCAGGTTAAATTTGGTGGAAGCATTTGTGGAAGATGGAGAATTGAGACAGGTTTTACAAGAAGATTTACTTCGGCGATTCCCAGATCTTAACCGACTTGCCAAGAAATTTCAGAGACAAGCAGCAAACTTGCAGAACTGCTACCAGCTCTATCAGGGTATAAATCAACTCCCCGGTGTCATCCAAGCCCTGGAAAAATACGAAGGTATCAAAAGGAGTTCTGTTTTCTTTCACTCGTAGTGTCCTCCACAAGTGGGCTGACCTTCAGAAGTTGATCCTTGTGACTCCTATTTCTGTGATACGCTTTTTCTGATAGCAGATTTGTAGACGTAAAGCTAAATGACAGAAGCCATGAATTTGAGAGCTGATTAGTGATCTCTGCTCTTAGTAAATATTCATAGGACTGTTTAGAATTTTTGTTTTTCAGAACGGCATGTGAGAGTTAGTGGATTTATCATGAACAGGGCTATTATACTAACAGTGGATGACTAAACAGGGTTCAGTGACTGAAAATGACTCCTAAGCCCCAAAATGACAGTGCATTCACATCTCCAGTTTATGACAGAGAAAGAAAGCAGTATTAAAATAGGAGATGCTTCACCCTCAAGTTCTTCTCACAGTGAGGGGTATAAGGAGAGGCCAGGTGCAGACTCCTCTTTACCTTATTGTGAGGCCCATGGCAACAGGCACATTCTCAGGTGAGAAGCCACTCGCATGAGCTTGGAACCTGGTGCCCAAAGTAGGGTCTTGACCGGGCTTCAAAAATGAGGTTTCATGGGACTTGCAGATGCACTGCTGATTGATAACCAGCCTCTACAGCAGAGGCCTCTGGGGGATTCTCTGAGACCAAGTGCTGGTCACCAGTCACAGTGAACAGTGCTGACAAGCTGGTGTATTGTCAGGGGCCTTCCAGACGAATACAACTCCTGGGGATTCTGTGAACAAGAGATCTCAGCCTTGCCCTGTGCTGTGCCGTCCTTATGATCTCCACATTGCTTGAATCCATTGTTGCAATCATTGTCAGTCCATCTCTGACTCTCTGTCGTCCTCAGCATGTTTTTTCCTAGGATTGGCCCTTCCTGACAATATGCCCAGAGTATGTGAGACCAGGTTTCACCATGTTTGCTATTTAAATAGTTAATAGATATTAATTAATTAATAATGTTGTTATGTGCGATTGAGTCAGCTACAACTCAAAACAACCCCTCCAGCTATGATGTCCTTCTCTAAGGACTGGTCTTTCCTGACAACATCCCAAATTATGTCAGATGGAGTTTCAAAATTTTTCTTACCTCTGAGGAGCAACCTGGTTTCACCCTCTCTTGGGTGAAACCTGTTTGTTTTCTTGGTGGTCCATGGTATGTATCTATGTTCAGTACACTTCTCCAGTACCACAACTCAAAGGCATCGTTTGTTCTGTCATCCTTAGTCATTGCCCAGCTCTCTGCTGAATAGCAAGTAATCATACAAATGTCTAAATCAGAAGTTTCACATACTTACTGCAACACACACCAAGTTAAGATATTTGAAATCAATCAGCCTAGAAAGTAGAAAAGGTGTCTTTCCTGGGGTGGCGCTTAGGACTGTGTTGTTCTTTCTTATGAGACACTCTAGAGATGATGTCTGCCTTGGTCGTTGGGAACCCAGCTGAACTTACTTTTTTTTTTTAAGTGTGGTTTTCATCGTATAACAGCATAGCTCCATTTTCATTTGATTTCATGGCAAAATCAAGGAGTCTTGACTTGTGAAGAAAACAATTAAACTGAGCAAAATAATTATTTTATAAGTTTTAATATTACTGGAAGTTGAGTATGTTCTTTTATTGTGATATGTTTTGATAGTAGCTCTAGATTTAATATTAGAAAAAAGAAAGTATGTTTAGAGACAGCAGGGGGCAGTAACAGCATGGAATGTCGATCTGCATAAAACTCTTCGGATCCTTTTTCTTTTTTAAGAATGAGCTGTTTGAAGAGACGAGCCTGTTCCCGTGGTCTTCCTACTTCTTATTAAACAATTGAGCAAAATTCTAAAATAACTGTATTCTACATTCAGAGCAAATTTCGGATGGTGGTTAAAATCATTCCTCTGTTTCCGTCAAGTCAGATCCTACCCATAGCCGATCATCCAGCAGGTTTTCAGCGAGAGTAAACAACATGGAAGGAGATTTTCCATCCTTCTGTGGAGGAGCTGGTGCATTCGAACCATGTGCCTTTGGGATTGTAGCACACCTTCTTACCACTGGGCTACCAGAGCTCCGAGGCATCCAATTTACTTGAATGATTAATTTTATTATGGCTCTCCTGAGGAACATAGCCTTTTCCTTTCCTTACTTCTAATTAATTATTTTCTATTTAATGTACTCCTTAAAGACTTCACATCTGCTGTTAACTCTTTCTTGCCCTGGTAACTGTACAGGTAAGACCTGGAGGTTTGCCTTTGTGAAGTTGAGAGCTTAAGAAAGTCAGTGGTGGCAGGCTCTGGTGGCCTAGTGGCAAGAAGGTGTACTGCAATCCCAGAGGTGCACGGTTCAAATCCACCAGATGCTCTGCTGGAGAGGGAGAAACAGTTTCTTCCTGTACCAGTCAGATCTGATTTGACGGTATACACACACACACAAAATAATAAAAAATAAAATAAAAGAAAGAAAGTCAGTCAGTGGCAGAGTTCCACTGTGTTTTGGAGGAGCATCGAGTCAGAGTCACCAGAGTGGCACCCAAATGTAGCAGTGCTTGTTGTATCCTCACTGAAGCCACGGTGATTTTTCTTAGCACATCTGATCACATCGGTTCTTTCCCTTTTATTCAAAATGCGGCAGTTATTTCTGTCACCCACAGGGAGAGAAAAATGACATACTCTCTCATGCTTTTATGCGTGTTTTTTTTTCCTCTGACTTCACTACTGTGTCCACTCTATAAACCCGTGTTGTTAGGTGTTGCTGGGTCAGCTGCAGCTCCTGGAGAACAGTAGATGTGAACCTTGCCTCTCCCGTGCCATTCTCAGCATCTCCCTCTGCTGTGCTTGAACCCAATGTTAAGTCACTGTGCCAGTCCATCTCATTGAGGGTCTTCTTCCTTTCTCTCTCCTGCTGCCTTTCCCAGCGTTTCACCTTCCAAGGACTTCTTTATGGTCTTCCTCTTTGTTTACTGACCCGCTACCTTACCAGCATGTCGTCTTTTTTTGGAAAAACTGATACATGCCCAAAGTATGTTAGATGAATTTTCACCATGCTTGCCTCTAAGGCTCTCCCTGATTGCACTTTCTCCTAGACAGATGGATTTATTCTTTGTGGTTCACAGTATATTCAGCACTCTTTAACAGATACCACGGTTCAGCAAAACGAAAGACACTGTTTCTTCTTCACTCATCCTTAGCCATCGTCCTGTTTGCATATGCACAGGAAGCAGGGGAAAAGAACCATGGCTTGGACCAGGTACACCTTAGTCTTTAAACTGATATCCTTGCTCTTTAGCCATTTAAAGAAGTCCTTGACAGCAGATTCTCTTAGCCAACACGTCTTGAGTTCTTGATTGCTACTACCAAGGATGTTAATTATAGATCTAAGTAAAATTAAATCATTGACAACTTGAGTCTTTTTCCTCCATCTCTCATGATGCTTATTTTGGAAGGATCTTTGTATTCTTGATTTTGAGATGGCATCTGTTTTGAAGGCTGTAGTACTTGATCTTTTTCAGTAATTGCTTTACGTCATCTTCATTGTTTGCAAGCAAAGTTGTGTCATCTGCATAATACAGGTTGTTGATGAATCTTCTAATCCTGATGTCACAGCTTCTCAGATGATTTGCTCAGCTTACAGACTCAACAGGTGTGGAGAAAGGATACAACCCTGATGGAGGCCTTTCCTAATTTTCAGATAGTTGTTTCTTAGTCTGTATGTACGTTTCTCATGAGTATAGTTAATGGTTCTGAATCTTGTTTCTTCTCAGTATTAGCCAAAATGTTTTATATCCACGTTGTCAAATACCTTCACATTGTTGATAAAGCAGACATTTTTCTGGTGTTCTCTTGTTTCATCTGACATTAATATTCATATTCCTTGTGCCACAGTCTCTTCTGAATCAGCTTGTATTTCTGATAGTTTCCTGTTGATGCTAAAGATTATATATATTTTTTTTGTGAGAAAAATTTATATTTAGAATTAGCCCGCTGGACTCAGTTTAGATGATCTCAATTTTGTTGGCAACATCCAAAGCATCATAATCAGGAGCAAGTCGAACATAGGCCTTCTTCTCTCCATCAGGCCTAAACAAAGTGTTGACCTTGGCCACATCATTGTCATAGAGCTTCTTTACAGCTTGTTTAATCTGGTGCTTATTGGCCTTGACATCCACAATGAACACAAGTGTGTTGTTATCTTCTATCTTCTTCATGGCTGACTCAGTGGTCAGGGGAGACTTGATGATGGCATAGTGGTCAAGCTTGTTTCTCCTGGGGGCGCTCTTCCGGGGGTATTTGGACTGCCTTTGGAGTCTCAGCGTCTTAGGCCGCCGGAAGGTGGGTGATGTGCAGATCTTTTTTTTTTTTGGCTGTGGATGCCCTTCAGGACGCCTTCTTGGCCTTTAATGCCTTTGCTTTGGCTTCAGTTTTGGGAGGAGCAGGGGCTTCCTTCTTAGCTTTTGGCGCCATTTTTGTAGAAAGTAAAGATTATTTTTCAAAAATTGCTGGAACTAGGACCTACCGGATTCTCCTTCCTGGTAATGCCTCCCTAACAGATGTAGTCTTGTCAGTTGTATAGCAGAAAGCTGAGCTGTGGGGTCAGTTTTGTTTTAGGTTTGCAGGGTGAAGAAAGGCTGTAGCCGCCAGGATTCCAGCAGTCTGTTGGAACACTCAGCCTCGTCATTTCCATGTTCTAATTTTGATCCACATTTATCGCCTTTATCCATGGTCAGGAGTGCTAGCTGGATACCATCTTGTTCTTGTCTCAAGGTCATGAGCTTGAGGTCCGTGTGATCCATTGGTTCTTTAGACTGTTTCCATACATCTTGGCTTTTCTTCCTTAATTCCAGACAGAAAAAGACCAATAATTGTACACTGCTTCTAAGACTCATCCCTTCTCAGTAGAGCAGAACGTATAGCTTGTCTAGGTGGATTATGTTATGCCAGTTGACCTTGATGCATCCCTGAGTCTTTGGTTCAGCCTTGTGACTTAATATGTAGTTTTAGATAACACTTTAATCTTGGGGAATC